TTAAACATTAAAAATAACATTCAGAGAAACAAAATTTTGCGAGATACAATTTAGAAACAATAGAAACAAACACAAAGAAATCTGAAAAGGCCGGGAAGGAGGAAAAAGTGAACCAGTGTTCACAAAAACCCAATCTATGCTCCTCTGAAGTATTAAAAAGAGTCCCTAAATGACAAATTTGTAAAAGCATTGAAAAGGAAAACTGGAATCCACACTTACTTGAGGTGCTGAATATTTGGCACTATACATTTATGAGGCACTCTGACTATTTTGGGGGTCCCTGTGGTTCCTGATGTATGCAAGACGTACGCTAGAGAGTCTTTCTGGCCAATGTCCATGCATCCTCCACCTGATGGTTTTACTTCAGTTTGATCTGGGCAAACGGGACATCCTGGCTGTGAGTTACCCAGAGCTTTGAAAGGTTCATTTTTACTTTTCTCATCATCTACTTGTGAATTTAAATCCGCACTGCTCGACCTCATTTGGAAGAGAGTTACACCAATATGTTCTACTGGGGAAGAATTGTGGCAAAACCAACCAACGTGGGACATCTGGAATTTCTGTAAAAGAAAATAAACAATTTAAACAGCAGAACTCAGGATACGCTGTTATTGTGCTATGGTATGCAATGAAATATGAAACACTGCTTCATACAAATGAGCTGTGATTTCTCATCCCTCTACTTTCGGAGGAGAGTTTTAAGCTCATGCATTTTTATGTATTAAATATCAGTGAACACACACTTTACAAATGAGAAATAAACAATTCTCAAAGCAAATAACAAAAAGAAAGGGAAAAATATGCAAAAGAATTCTGCAGAAGACACAGAACGCTGAATTATAACTAGAAAGTCTGATCTTGTCTATTCCCTTTGCAGTCAGCGAGGGTACAAGATTTGGAAGGAGGAAAACCAAAGAATTAAATGCAGGAATTATTTTCAACTATTTCAATTATTTTCAACTCTCATCCTTCACATACAGAGAAAGAAGTCTGGAAAAGTCTTCCAATGCCACTACCCTACAAGCTGGCCTGGACAACACTGTAATAGGAAAGTAGGCAATTTTTATTATTTTTTTTTTTAACAGGAGGAGAAGCACTTTATACTTCTAGTTCTAAACACATTCTTTTCTGAATGAAAAAGACAACCTCTTTACATGAAAAAACAAAACAACCCCACCCAAGCTTATTAAAACAGAATACAGTCTGAATATCTGAATAATTTCTAAATTGTCCTTTAATGCTTCCTTTAAAAGGCTGAACACTTACATTTATTTTGTCATTCTCAACAAGAATATACTGGAGATTGCTTTTCTCCATGAAGTAAGCAGATAACATCGGTGGCGCATCTGGATCAATAGGAGAATAGGCAGCTGGAACTTGAAGGATTCTAGCAAGACAAAAATGTTTGAAATGTATTAAAAAAAAAATTAAGAAAATCCTCTTAAACTTCGCTAACATTTCTTCTATACTGCAATTAGTTCCCAGAGCCAGAAAACGTAGTCATAACATGACTTTTAAAGGTTTTGATAGGAAGCAAATTATAATCAGTGTTGCCTTTTGGTATTTTCAATATTCAAAATTCTTCCTGGCCAAGCAGGCTGGCGATGACAAAGGTACCACTGACATCAACAGCACCACGTTTTACAGGCTTCTGCTATTGACTAGGAACAGAAATACAAGCTTTTCATTTATACTTATACAACACATATAAACATATTTTAAGAAAACACCGAAAGCCTGCACACTGAAAACACTTTCTGTTCTCACTAAAGAGTCCAGCATAAAAAATTCCGAGCATCTACTGGAATTTCTTCCCTAATAAACAAACGGAGGAACACGAAGTATCATTCTGCCCTCATTCACAGGCTTCACATCCTAAGTGCTCCAACAGTTGTTCACTACAATCCCCCCCTCTAGTGGCTCCCTTTGAGGAAGGCAAGCACTTGAATTAATATATTAACGCCACAAAAAGCCAAAAGGAGTAAGTGGCACCTAAAATATGAACGGTTCCCATCACGCTTCACATTTCTTCCAAGGCTGAGTTTCCATGTCAAATTAGAGCCGTTTCCTCTTTGTGCAAATGATTTATCGCTGCAGTAATGCTGAGATCCAGAAGGAAGATTTGGGAAGTGCAGCATTCTGCACGCTTGAACAGCTACTGGAATAAGTAAGCACTTCAGCCTGCCCTACATCATATATAGTCGTTAATTACTCAGCAATCAATGACGGCTGTAAGAATCAACATGTCCCACTAGCGTCCAGTCACACAACAAAAGAAAACTGTGTTGCTGCTCAGTTCACTGGGATCAAGGAATAAATCGGGTTGGAAGGGACCTCAGGATGCCTGGTCCAGCCTCCTGCTCAAGCAGGGCCAACTGTGAGACCAGAGGGGTTCAGCCAGGTCTTGAGAACCTCCAGGGATGGTGCCTGCACAACATCTCTGGGAAACTTGCTCCACTGCTGGCCTGCAGGAAAAGCGGTTCCCCATCAGTGGGAGAGCTCCTCAGCCCTTCTGGGAGGTTTACGATTACAGAACTCGCTCATTTCACTGAAATCTTTACAGTCAACTGTGAAACATCTTACAGCCTTGTGCATTTTAAGTGCAGGGTGACAACAGGAAAACACAGAGACAGATCATCCCCCTAAAGAAGCCCAACTGCTGCTGTACACATCAGCTGGAAAAAAATACCCTTGCGATGCAGTGATTCTGTATTACATCATAAATGCAATGAATATAAAAGGTACACATATAAAGGATGCAAACATCAGAATTCATCAGCAGAAGCAGGATTTTTAAAATGGCTGAATTAACCGAAGTGTTGAGATCAGAAATATATCAATTCCCTAGCCATTAAATAATCAATGTCACTTCAGTGCTCCATGGCTCATTATTTTTCCTACAGTATTTGTAATGGAACTGTAACTGTATACTCAGTTAGCTTAAAGCATGAAATTTGTTTTCAATGCATCTTTATTTTCTGCTAGCAGAACAAGAATACATTAAAAAAACCTGCATACTCCTTTTTTTTTTAATATATACGTTTATTCTGTTAGATCACCTCCATTTTTAAACAAGCACAAAGACACTAGTCATTCTTTTTTTTAAATTTATATAGATATGCTTAATCATACACTTTATAAGAAAATGGATATAGTTACATACAGTTTAGATCAATGAACTTAAGATTCAAAAAACGGTTACCAGTGGCCTTTCAAAACATTGAAATACTGCCATCTTTTTTCTTAAAGAATGGAAGACTCCAGTGTCTCTTGACCATATCAGCATAGTATTACTGCATTTTTGTTGTTATTAAAAATGCAATCAACCTGAAAATTTGCTTTTAGAGAGATAACCCTTAAAAAACCAACACAAATTGCAAGCATTCACACCATTACCCCAAGATCCAAGACGGTAAGTTTATTCCTGGATAGCAGTAAAGGCCTATTTCACATTTTCCTTGCTGATGACAGTGCTTTTGAAGGAAAGCTGTTAGCTCCATGGCAAGCTTAACCACCGTCGCGTACGTGTAGGAAGCTGGAGGCTTGTCATTGCACTCATCAAACCAAACTGCTTTTCTATCAGAGTACAGGCCAGCTGCCTGATTCACCAGTTCCTGAAGAGTCATCTCTGCAGCATAGCCTCAGTCCCCCTGAAATTAACAAACCAGACTGCATTGTCATCTCCTGACTTTTAATACTTCTGTCAAATTATGCAAATACACAAAACACTACCAAGTAGAAAAAAAAATACACACAGCTTCAGCACAGCTTATATTGCAGAAGAGTAAAGTGTAATACTTTTATCATTTACCCTGGGTCTCATCCCAGGATGGTGTAGTTGCTCAGGATACAGCAGTTCACTGAGATTTCACCACACAGAGGTAGTTTGTTCCTCACTGTTACACCTCTATTTTTAAAGCTGGGCACAACTTAATTAACAGCTTCATTAACACAACTAAATTAATGACAGAATGGTGAAATGCGATTCTCTCCTTCGCCAGCAGAAGGCCCAAGGCGCCGATTGCCAAGGCCTGTAGGGTCCTGCCCGGGCTGGAGCCCGTCTCTCCCGTCAGAGAATCACAGAGTGGCGGGGGTTGGACGGGACCTCCAGAGACCACCCAGTCCCACCCCTGTCACAGCAGGGTCACCCAGAGCAGGCCTGACACGACCGCGTCCAGGCAGGGTTTGAATATCTCCAGAGAAGGAGACCCCACACCCTCTCAGAGCCTGTTCCAGGGCTCTGGCACCCTCGAAGGGAAGAGATTTTCCCTCATGTGGAGATGGAATTTCCTGTGCTCCCGTCTGTGCCCGAACCGGATGACCCAAGTTCCAGCCGCGGCTGACCGAGCCGGGATAACGCCAGGGTCGGGCCTCCGCTGCGGTCCGGACCGAGGGGAGGCAGCTCCTCCAGCCCCCCGTCGCTCCAAGCCCCCCTCCGCCCCCAATCCCACACACGGCCCGGCGCGAACCCCCACCTGCGGCAGCACCTGCCGGCGCCCTCCTTCCCTCCGCCGCCACCTAGCAACGGAAGGTCAGCGCTTCCCATTGGCGGGACGGCCTCCTTCCTGTCAGACTCTGCAGTAATGCGCGCTCTCATTGGCTCTAATGCGGCCGTCGCGCTCTTTGGGCATCAACAAGCTGCGCCCGGGGGTGTGTGCGGGGCGGTGCCATTTTCCCCGGGGGTGGGAGGGCAGAGGGTGCTGTGGAGCGCTGCCGGCAGCGGCTCTTCGGGGAGGAGAAAGCGGATAAAACAGGCGCAGGGGGTCGGGGCGAAGGGCACAGTCCCTCCGCCGCGCTCGGGTCACCCGTCTCTGTCCCCGGAGGTGGTTGGGGGGGGTCGCTGAGGCGGTACGGGCCGCCCGCGGGGGATTTAATGTAAGGCCGGGAATGGTTTCCCTCAGCTTCGGGGCACTTTGGAGGTGAAAGGAGCTCCTTTTAGTGAAAGGAGCGTTGTGTACCTGCTGGCAGCGAGCACGGCGAAGGGAGAGAGGACGAGGAGACAGGTTCTGAGCCATTTTTAATACTGCGCGTGGGAGAAGTTAGACATGAGCTTTCTACTGCCCCATCGCATCCTGTAAATGGTCATTTGGCACGGTTGCAAATCGGTAGTACAGCAGAAACAGTTTCACAGTAAAACGTTAAAATTACACAAATAGTGACACCTAAAAAGAGAGTTCTTTGCCTCTACATACTCATGATACGTGTATGTGCGCTGTATGTGATTAAAAAAAAGGCCTGGTAACCTGAAGCGTTAATCCAGCCGTTGGAGAATAAAGAGACACTTGAAAAGTATCATCTCCCCTTTAACTTAAAGCTGAGGCGTGTAGTGTGTCTAAAAATCACAGGGTTTACGGTAGCAGACAGCGTAATTTCATGTGCATAACATGGAAGGAAAAAAGGCATGAGGAACTCAATTTTATTGAAATCAGAATGATGCCACCTAATGCTCACATCATATTTAGGCAATTATTACCAGACTTCAAAAACAGCGGTTCTGTTGAAAGCAGGTTAAAAGAGTATTTGCACAGGTTTCGCTTACAGTCTGTTCTATAGACAATTTCAGATAAATCGATAGACTTCTGCTTGCAACCTTGTTAAAACTGTGCACCTAAGTTTTTATCTCAAGTAGAAAGGACTCCTCACACGTAACTATAACCTAAGAGCTCGACTTATTCCTTCTTTTAAAAAGGATTCCTTTTTTGAGAGTAGGAAACAAGAAGGGTCAAAAACGTTACTGACAGTGTTTCTGTTTTCTCACACCCCTCCCTGGTTAATCTGGACCCTCTTCTCTTTTTGCTTAATTTACTGTCCAGATGAACTGTTATGGTTCTGTTAAAAACCAAATAAACTTCCTAATTGGACAAAACAGATCCACAGACATCTCCCAATATGCAGATCAGGGCTTTGGTGAAGAACACACCGTAAGAGCCCAATGCTCATGAAAGTCTAGATTCTCCCATAGGCTTGACTGCAAGTAGGTTCTGATTCCACTGCACAAGGAGCAGTCTTGACTTCATTAAATGTATTTATGTGCTTTCTTGAATTGGGACTTCTGTTCTGTGATTGTCTATCAGGCACAATTGCTACAAAACCCACATTAAGAAAGCTCACTTTTGAATTTCATCACCAGTGCTGTAATTCGCAAGTATGTGGAAGATGATGAGGAAAGAAGAAGCTCTTAAACTTTGCTGCTTTTTTTTCTTTTAACAGTATCACAAACAATTATAAGGCCAAAATACACAATATTAAATAGAAAATCTAAAATTAAGTTGCTGGTATTCAGTGAAAAAGCTGAGGCATACAAAATATTTTTACAATTGTGCGTAAATTTGCAATAGTTTTCAAAAGGTGCTTTCCATTTTCAGCTAGTGGTTCGTTGTCCAGATGATCTTCATGTTTATTAGTACACATGGTGTAATTGCAACCAATTAAAAACTACAGTGCATTCAATATCTAGTGGTTCTTCAGAGCTCTTTTTTTTTAACATGACATTTATTGTAACAGCAGTAATGTAGCAAAATAAGACTATGCCCAAAATAACTCATAATCTTAAGTTGATATATTGTTTTTACTGTTAAAAATGAAAAGTGACTTTATTTTTCAGTTTACTTCAGGTGTTGGGATATGAAAAGCACACTGAGCGTTAGCTCAGAATTCAGAAATTGTCAGGAATTATCCTAGAGAAAACAAACTATAAGACAGAAAAAAAATGGCAGTGCCAAGTATTGTTTTTCTCTTTCCACATCCTGTTGGCAACTGATAAAAGCACACACAGATAACCTAACACCACTGGACGTCCAAAAAAAGAATTTAAAGTTAAAAAACTAGAGAGCTTTTGGCTGAGCATTTCCCTGAGTCTTCATTTTTTAAAACTGTATGCTAGACATTACGTTCATACAATCCGTTACAAAGGCCTTGATTAATAAAAACTGTGTAGCTATATATATATATATATCTGTAAAAGTTAGGTACTTCTATTCTTAAAAAGCCTAAGCAAGAACTGCTGAGGAAGCAATCTGATTTTTCAGAATCTGGTATTTTTCCTAAGGAGAAAAGCAAACTTCACATACTTTTGCATTAAGACTTTGATAATTTGAAATTACACCGCATTTTGCGATTCGTGATTTGTGAACAAGTCTAACAGGGGTATCTTTTGGGGCAAGTCCAAACCAAAAACCTCAGGGACTGCTACAGAATTAAAAAAAAACACTTTGGTTTTTATAATGTTTTCTGTGAAAATAGAAGGCACAACTGTGCATCAAAACGATACGATTTTGTATTTTAATCTGCTTACATTGTTTTTCATCAGCACGTAGGACTTTCTGCAAGTCTTTACTGTAAAGATGTATTTTAGTAACAGTAATTAGTTGGCTGTAATAAGCTTTCTGCATTATTTAACTGTAAGAAGGCTATTGGCATCTTTGAAAAAGGTACATTCAACACCAGATGAACTGAGGTCCATCCACGGAACGTTCACCACTCCAGCTCCACGGGGTACTCCCCCGTGAGACAGGCCGTGCAGTGACCGATCTTCCCAAGGCGCGATTTCTGGCTTTTAAAGTTGTTCTCGTTCTCTTGTCTGGCTTTGATGCTTTCTTGCACGGACGACACCAGCCCTTCCACAGAGAGATACACAACGCTGTCTGCTCCTAGAGGAAATAAATAATATATGTATGTCACCTATACTGCAAAAATGGAAATAAAATCCAGAGTGTGCATTAAGACTCCCCAAACTCCCTGCGGTTTCCCAGAGTGAGCCAGCAGTCGGGACCTGGAAGCTGGTGCTTCCCAACCTGCCCAGCCTGGACCACAAACCCTCACTGGGACTCAGAGCGGGGAGACAACCATCATGTTAAAAAATAATTAAGTATGCAGTTCGTGCAAATGTTCTAGCAGTAGGAAAGTTTGAAAGATTTTTCATATCATTAGTTTTTTATCGTTTGGGCTCATTACTTTGTAAATAATACTTAAAAATGAGATATCCTACAAACTTGAAATGTTTCTACATGCCATCGTACTCATTTTGGGGAAAAGAATTCACTGCAATATTAGTGAAAGTATTTAAGACAGGAAATCCGAGTTCACAGTTTTCTAACTGTAACCACAGCTGTGTTCTTAAACTATTTTTCAAAATCTTTTGCAGCACAATAGGACATAAATAGTAGATTTCCTCACTCTCAAGCCTTCACCGATATCCACATGAAGAGCACATTATTTATCACATCACAAGCAACATAAACTCTTGCTGCTTCTTTTGTTCTGCTGCAAACATGACTCATTCTAAAGGTTTGAGAATGTATTTAACATTCTTTGATTAGTTTCAAATGCCATTTCTTTGAAAGTGAACTATATAATGCAGTTTAAATTATTTACATATATTTAAATTTATAGAAAAATCAGTAGGTGTTTACAGATTCTGGACATTTATGAATATTTCATAAAAGTGAAACTAGATTAGCTTTTTATTACAGGACAGATTTTCACCACATATTTTGCCAACAGTAGCTCCTTGTTGTAAAGAGTTTCCCAGAAGCAGCTCTTAAGTATTGGAAAGCTGTGTTGTCACACCTTATTTGTAACTTATGACCATGCCATTATTCTAATGCCTTCTATTGTTTGGCAAAACACAATTCACTGTGTTAAAAAAAAAGCATGTAACTAAATTAGTTTGATCATAGGGTAGTCACAATGCAGAAATTTACTGTATTAACCTTAGTCAGTTTTGCCACTGTTGCCTTGATGTAGACAATCAAATACATACAGGTAAAATCTCTCTCCAAAATAAAAAAACAGAAAAAGAAAAAAGAAGAAAAAGAAAAAAGTATCATTTACCTATATAGTTTGCAAGATCATGAAATTCGGGTCTGTTGGCAATGAGTTCTTCTTTAGTTGGAATGTTTATTCCCATGTAACAAGGAAATCTTATGGGAGGTGAAGCCACACGGATGTGCACCTGAATAAAAACAAGTTCAAAAGAGACAGCTGTAAGGTGAGGGCCTTTATATCATAACACGATAGCAAAGTCCCACTTCTGAAAAATATTAATGAACAACAGACCAGAGCACTACACAAAAGTCATTACGGTTAAAAGTAAGATAAAGTTTTTTTCAGATTTTTAGAATTTATTTTTACAGTATTTCCTAGTGTTATTCACAGAATCATAGAATAGTTTGGGTTGGAAGAACTCTGCAGAGGCCATTTAGTCCCACCCCCCTGCAATAAGCAGGGACATCTTCAACTAGATGAAGTTGCTAAGAGCCCCATCCAGGGATGGGGCATCTACCACGTCTCTGGGCAACCTGCTCCAGTGTTTCACCACCCTCAGTGTAAAAAATTTCTTCGTTATATCTAGTTTATATCTTCCCTCTTTTAGTTTAAAACCACTAGCCTACTCTTGTCCTATTGCAACAGGCCCTGCTAAAAAGTTTGTTCCCATCTTTCTTCTAAGCTGCCTGTAAGTACTGGAAGGCCACAATAAGATCTCCCCGGAGCCTTCTCTTCCCCAGGCTGAACAACCCCAACTCTCTCAGCCTGTCCTCACAGCGGAGATTGCTCCATCCCTGTGAGCATCTTCAGAGCCTCCTCTGGACTTGTTCCAGTGGGTTCATGTCCTTCTTATGCTGGGGGCTCCAGAGCTGGATGCAGCACTGCAGGTGGGGTCTCAGCAGAGCAGAGCAGAGAGGAATCCCTCCCCTCCCTCACCCTGCTGGCCACGCTGCTTTTGATGCAGCCCAGGATGCGGGTGACTTTCTAGGCTGTGTTATAAACGGAGACCTGTTCCTTTCCCCTTCATCACCCAAAAATCACAGTCATACAAAAGAAACTTCTCAACCTATCCTATCTTCACAATAAACATGCATTAGCTATTGGGGTTTTTTTGCACACTTGCCCTTGTAAATAAGGCAACAATATATAGTATAAATGAAGAAGAGCCCCTGGGCTTTACCCTCCCCATCAGTCCTCTATTTACATCCGTATTGTGCTGACTGGAAATTAACTTACCTCTTTGGCTCCTGATTCTCTCAGCAGTTTTATGATGGGTGAAATGGTATTGCCCCTCACAATTGAATCATCAATGATAACGACTCGCTTGCCTTTAAAATTATCAGACAGAACACCAAACTTCTTTGCAACACCAAGCTGCCGTAACCTCATATTTGGCTGGATAAATGTTCTTCCTACATATCGATTTTTACAGAGTACTTCAACATACGGTAGTCCACACTGTAAACAGGAGACAGTTAAACAGAATTAATATCTAAAGAACTGATTGTTCTCAGTTTCTGTTTTTTTAAAGCAACCTCAAGACTTAGTATGACTTCACAGTAGCCAAAAACCTCTACAAAACTAACGGCCCATACCATTATATTCCATTTGAAAAAGAGATATGTGCAAATATACTTGGGAAAAATAAAAATGAAAAAAGGAAAGTTAACATATACCTTTTGAGCATAACCAAGAGCCGCTGGGGTTGCAGACTCTGGAACAGTGCTGACCAGGTCTGCTTCCACTGGTGCTTCGATGGCAAGCTGCTGCCCACATCTTCTCCTGACCGAATACACCATCTGACCTAAGGACAGCAAGAAGTGTTATTCCTGGTGTGCATAATTCACATTTCCTCTCAGTTTGCTCTACACATTTCCATGGCAAGTTGCAGGCTTACAAGTCAGTGAGAAAAGCTCCAGAACTTTGCATCCCCTCCACAGGACTAGGCAGGCCTGACTGAGGCCATCTGCACAGCCAGGAACAGGAAGTTGGTGTTTCATGCTCCTTCTGATGAGTTTTATCTCCTCAAGAACTGTGCCAACCCATTCTGTCCCAGCCCTCTTCTGCAAGCTTGCATTCTGTGGAACCCCCCTGTGATCCCAGGTCCTTTCCAGAGTTGTCGTTCTCCGGAATAACATCTCCTGGGATGGGGAGGGGCTTTGTATGTTATATCTTCTTACCTTCAAAAATACTGTCTGGTCTTGCAAAATAAACATATTCAAAGATGCAGAACGCTGAGGGATCTCCTTCAGGTCTTGGTACAACATCCAGTGTCTGAACATCATATCTGGATATTTTCACAATCTCTCCAGGAAGGACTTCACGATAGTACCTTGAAAGAGAAATAAATGGCATTTAGAAATGTCCTGAATCTGGATGATAGCTTCAAAATATAAACAAGATTCAACTCACAGAAAAAATGTTTTTGAACATCCTAACACAACAGTTTGTTTCTATCTTAGAATTTAACACCTATCTAGGGTGTTATAAGACCAACATGCTAAGACAAGTGACCCTTACTAAAGCAGTCTGAATTAATAACCAAAAGCAGTAAATTAGTACCAGAGAATTATGGTATTCTTCCTATATGTGAGATGTACAGCACTCAGTCTAGTACAGACTTGATTGAGATTAAATATATTTTAGTCATTTAGTCCTAGATCAATACTAGGAAATTTTGCTATGAAAGCTAATAAACACTTTAATGCAATATAAAAACCATAATCAACAATAAAGATGTCAGCCAAAGAAATCCTGCCCCACAAGCCAGTATCTAGGGAAATAGCTGTCTAAAGGTGACAGGCAGCTGCCTCTGGATGAAGTAAAACTGACTGGAAATGTACATTCCAATTCTCATACCTGAAGAAATATGGAATAGTATTAGGTTTATTATGTTACAGTGTTTAATCTTATTAAACATTTTTCTAGATCCTTTAGGGAGCCCTCAGGTGGCTATTCTAAAACTTTCAATCTGAATCTATCACATAATATTGAAATATTCTGGAGATATAAATCAGAGGTGAGTCAATTTGTGCATATTTGCTGGTGATATACTAACTTGAGCAGGCAGCAGCACTGGCTACAGCAGAACTTTATAGACAAAATTGCTTTTTAAAAAAACCCACAGGCTTCAGCTGATGGTCCTGCACAGTAAGCTTCTCTTAACATAGATTTTGAAGAAATTTCAGAAAACAGTTATCCATATGTAGAATAAATTGTCTCAAGAATGCCCCTGTCACCGACAGCTAACACAAATCCTACAGAGATAGGGTAGAAGTCACAGCAAAAGAACTCAGAACACCACACCTACAATAAACCACTGCAGAATGGCATAAAAGACTACTAAAGTAGAGCCAAGTTGCTTCCTGGGTTTTCTTACAACAGTAAAGTCATCTTTATTGTTGCTTTCTGAACATATAATTCTTCTTTGATATTAATCTGTTCAAGAAAATAAACTGGCAAAAAACAGGACTAGCAAAAAAAATCCTCCAAACAAACTGATCCTTGATGTCTTTGATATTGCTATAGATTATGATATTTGGCATTTTGAGGTTCAATGTTTAATCACTGCCTGAGGAAAGCTTTCAGATAAAGTAAGAATCAGGGCACTTACTCTGCACCGATAGACAAAAAGCTACAAGACTCAGAGGAGACGACCCATCCTTCTGTTTCACTGTTATCTTTTCCTGAAATGAAAGATTTCAGTTAGAGTCCACAATTCTTGTTATCATTATCCCCTCTCCAATTTCACTTCTACTGAGATATCTGGCTTGCTATGGTTTAGCTTGCCAAGTGCACAATTAAAGACTGTTGTGATTTCTAACTAAAAGGTATAGCATTCCAAAGCTTCTATAATATTATTTAAAAAAAACAAAACAAAACAATAAATAACGTAATCATAAACCTGTTCTAGGAAGAAGTAGAAGTAACAGCACCATATTCACAGATCATGAAGAGAGACATTTCAGATAACTGCCTGCTATCCACTATTTCAAACTTTTCCAATTCTAGTTCAGTGACTTTAGATATACATAATTATTTTATTCACACAAGAAACTCCTTACTTTTCCTATGCTAAATGTCTTGATAGATCCTTTTGATTACAATGGATGCTGGACTGAACTCCAATAGGGAGAGTTTTCAGAGCCAGGCACAGGAAAGACTGAATTGTGTAACATAGGGTAGGAGTGGTTGTATGCTTTAAAAAAATGTCAGTAATTTTTATTGCAGTTAAAACTACCAAGTTTTGTGAAGATATGGAAGCTTTTACTACTTCACCTTCAAATTATTTTATTTTTATACAAGTGAACAGATTTTAATCTCACTTCATGGAAAATGTCAATTTGCAGGCTAAACAGGAACACAAAAAAATTTTCCCATAAATTGACATGTGACTGGGAGTGCTTGGAATTTAGAAACACATTGCCAGTTATCCAGCACTTTTCGAGCACATTACTACAGGAGAAAGGAATAAACCAGACTTGTTTCTGGACTGGACACAGTCCTGAGCAACTGGCTGTAGGTGGCCCTGCTTGAACAGGGGATTTAGACCAGATGACTTACAGAGGTGCCTTCCAACCTCAATCCTCCTGTGATTCTGTTCATCCCTGCTTTCCTGTTTAGGTCATGAGATGTTAATTCAATTTTCATGAATATTCTATTACAATTGGGCTGTCTGACACTTCCATCAGGTGACTAGGATTCCCTTTTGCTGGGAGTAGAAAAGGTGTTTACAGACTTCCTACAAATTATTTTTTCTTTACCAACATTTTTTTTTGTTTTGAATTTTCGTAACTGACTTTTGCATCACATATTCCTACTTACACCTCAGTAAGTGTAGCTTTAATTAGTTATATCAGTGATTTCAGGCACAAACTATATATATACATAGATATATCTGGGTGTATATGAATGTATATGTATGGTTTACCTTTTCCATTCATGTCCCCTACTGGAATAAGGCGACCAATGCAGAGTGGGCGATTCCCATACGGATCACGTACTGCATAGATTATGTCTTTATGCATAATAAGCAATGAATATGAAGTTGGAGTTTCATTCATTAAATTTTTTATTCTGAAATGAGACACAGGTGAACATAATCGTGTGCATTTACAGCTGCATATCATGCTGAGATCAGATTGCCGATCGCAATTCCGAAACCCATCCTCCTCACCTTGCCACCCAGTCGGCTGTATCGTCATTTTCTAGAGGAGGGGTGAAAGCCAGCAGCTGGGTGATCAGTTCACTGTCAGAACTGGTGGACAGTCCTACACCGTGCCGCATAAGCTTTTAAGGCACAAAACAAAAAGTGTTATCAACATTAAAAAAAAATAATAAATCCACATAACACTGCTCAGATTTTAACAACACCTCTCTGCAATGAACAAATGTTTTAAATCCTATCGGTGCTTCAGGTGATGATAATGTCAAATTTCTTCCAACAAATCAAATATGTAAAACAAGCTGGTACAATCATCTATGCCTGGTACTACATTTCTCCCATTGCATCTCATTCCTTTGCTCCACACGCAACCAAAATTAATACCACCAATATTTGGGGCATAAATTCATGTTTGGGCCATTTAATCAGCTTTGTGCTTCTGCTTGCTCAGGGAGAAGAGGTAAAATATACAGGGGAAATATGAAATTACCTATAGCAGATACAGAAAGAGACATCAAGGTAGAATGCTGGTCTTGGAACAAAGCAGCAACAAGAAAAAGAGAAGTGTGAAGGGAAGCAGAGTGGGATTAAAAAACTGAAATCCCACAATTCAAAGTTTGTTAGACCTGGTCAGTCAAATATTTCTGTCTTGGTGTATTTATTCTTCTAAGGAAGAAAAGAACCTGCAGTATACCTAGCCAACTGTTACAACTCATTCAATGCTGTATGCATTACAGTTCCTAATTTTTATCTTTAGAAATCATTTTACATCTCATGTAACTCTGATTCTCCACTCTGCATGGACATTTCCTCGTTGCTGTTTTTTTCTCCCATGCATTCATACACTTGTAGCTCTGATTAAAGATGGGCAGGTTCCTTTGGGCATGCCATACATTTGCTTCGCTTCAATGCATGAGTATTTCCTCTTGCTTTTGGGTGGAACATATCGTAGAAGAGATTTCACAATGAAACCTCTGCTAAATTTTAATTTGATTCTTTAACACATACCCTACTAGCCAAACACACTATAAATTTGGCATTTTTTCATTTTTGTCCTGACAGTGCTCATGATTCATTTTTGCAAGCTAAAAATACAAATAAAGACAATATTCCAAACCAGACATTTGATATTACCTCACCTTATTATGCCTCTCCTAACTCTAAGCATATAATTTACTGCTTCTGTCAGGAGCAAAGGTGGCACAAAGGAGCAGAGCTTCAAGCCAACCTCCCTTTTTTAATGGCTGAGTTGGTTTGCTCACTTGATCAACAGGAATGTGACCATCAGTCTAGAGGGCTGGTGAGTTATCTCCTGTGACAGTTACAAATGTCTCCCCCTCCAGGATTTTTTTCCCCCTAAATGATCCCTTTTGATGACGGTGGTCTTTCACTACCCCAAATAGTTTGATATTAAGGAAAAGCCATAGCAAACTTATTGCTCGTTGCTGCCTCAGACTCATAAAGAAACTGTGCCAGAGCTGCCCCGAGGGGATACGAACCTTCCTCCTGAGCCGTACAGCGTTTGTGAGCTCCCCGTTGTGCGCCACAGCGATCTTCCCATGAAGAGTCTCTACAACAAAAGGCTGGCAGTTCTGCAGCTCAGAAATTCCCGAGGTGGAGTACCTCGTGTGCCCAATCCCGAGGTTAGAAACGTACAGCTTCTTCAGGCTGTCTGCGTTGAAGACATGATTTATAAGACCCATTCCCTTTGGGAGAAAAAGAAAAAAAAGTTCTCTTTGGTTTTGTTTTCCCAGCAACTTCCTTATTTCTCCTTTATTTATGGTACAGCATTAATGCAAGCAACTTTAAGAGAAAGGCCTGAAAGATATAGGAAAGAAAGAAGCTGAATAGGTGTCACAGTGATATATCAGATCCCATAACTCCTGTTTTTAAATAAATCAATACACATTTTTGTGCTGAGGATGTTCATGGAATAATCTATTCCTTGACTAAAATAACATCTTCTGAAAAACACTACCAAACTGTTGTGGTTAAAAACACCAGAAAAAAGACTGCCAAAAGACAGGCAAAGTAGAAGAAAGTTGCAAGAAAATTCTATGTAAAGAATACCTTTTACAAGTTAGTAGTGTATTGGATTTACTTTTATACCGGGCCCATGATAAAGTTTATTATATTCTACTGTCATTCTTGCCAGTGTCAGAAGCAAAGCTTTTTTTTCAGAGGTTTTATTGTTTACTTCAAACAAACTTTTCATATAGCCAAGTTGCCTTCTATCTAAAGCAGAAATGCATCAAAACTTTTAGTCAGCTCTTAGGAGCTTCTTTTGGCAACAGAAAAAACTGGACAGAGAGCAGAAATTAAGACTGGATTCCAGGCCCTCCTACAAACTCCTGCTTCTGCTGCTGCTGGTGGAAAATATTTACATCCCTCTATGCTTGGTTTCCCTATCCCCTGTGACAATTGTTATATATATGATAGGACACATGATAAAACTCCTCCAGGACCTTCAAAGATATATGGGAGAGGTCTGAAGCGGTGAATGGTTTGTTACCTGTGCTGTAAGTACAATAACAAGAGAGTGGGGTGGGAGAAGAAGGACGGGAATTGGCTGACCTGTTCTCAGGGCTCAGAGAGCTTAAAGAAAGCTCAGCTTTAAGGTATTTTCTGCTGTGACTGCTATAGAGTCAAAATACCAAGAGGAGGATACTTACTATCACGTTAAAAAGTTACTGCTTCAAACTGTTAGACTGGTATAAATTTGCTTTAATGTCTCATAGATGACAGAAAGGTGGTCTAGAGTCTATGTCATGTGCTCATACATGCACTCTTATTTTACTTGGGCCAACATTATCCTAACAGGAGATCTGGCAGTTCACAGGTCCAGCATTAATGGCTGTTATTGCCACGTTAAGCATTGCAATAGCTTAAACAACCAATGTTGTTTTAAACCAGATTTGGTTACACAAGTACATAATCTTTTAATTGCAGTTCGAAATATTGCTCTGATTGAGACTGCACTGGTGTGGGGTAGCGAATGTGAATTACAACAGTGTAAAAAGTTCCCAATTAAGACAATCTTATGTCTGTATTATACAGGGGCTGGTACATGCCAGAACATGAGAATGGTTTGATGAATAGCTACTTTAACATATTTTTCTGCATATCCAAGTGTGAAACAATTAAAGTTGTTCTCCTACTGTCATCGCTATGCCTATACAAGAGATTTAAGTTTTTCCATATCCTTAGCTAATAAAGTTACAACAGTAATGTTTTGTTACACAAATCTAGCTGAAAGGCTCTGGCAGACAAATCTGGGCAAGTCTTTCTGGGAGAGTTAAAAACAAAGGATTAATAGCCTTTGTCACGGGCTATTAATCCATGGCTGAAGGCTGGCAACAACCAGAAGGGAACAAATAGCCCTGCCGTAGGTGCTCCAGTTTGTACTCTAACACATGTATTGCCTTAAAACCGTTGACAAAGGTGAGTTTGCACGGAAGCATTGGATAGCAAATCCGTGCAGTGAGAAGCAGGGACCTTTTCCACCCTGTTGTCTCTGCTGTGAAGACGAGTCAACTGGAGTTTGGAGGCCAAATGAATGCAGTAGCGTCTTAGCTGCTGACATTTTTATGGACTAGTTTACCAGTCAGAGTCCTAAATGTATTTTCACCAGCGTAACAGACCCACATGTTTGTTACATTAGCACCGATTTCAGGATTAAACAAGTCATATAAATTGTACTCCACAAGCCCGTTATTACACTGTGGTGATTACAGATTTTAAAAGTGCTGTAGCTGAGAAACATATTTCAAGGATGAAAGAAACCATCACATGCTCTGCAACTCTTAAAATATCAAAGCCGATATGATGAGACAGTCAATTAAATTCTTAGCATGACAGCTGAGTATTGCAGCTCAGTAACATGGAAGCACTACAAATTATGATATCACCCGCTGGAAGTTCATTCTGAGGAGCTCTTTTTACTATGGGATATATACAGTAGCCCCCTTTAAAGGAGACTGGAGTTCCTGTAAATCTTAAGGAAAGCTGAAACCCAAGCAGGAGCAGGAATGAAGAACAGATAATACAGTGAAGTTGAGAAAAGCTGCACTTAAAAGCGTGTCTGTGTGTATCAGGCTGTAAGTAACAGATAGGAGGGGGGAAATGCCTGAAGAGGTGACAAGCATGATGCTTGATGAGACTAGATTTTTGCATAAGGCATTGAGCAGTCATGCACAGATATACATGATGCTGCACAGCAAAGCAGTCCTTACTTCTGGACTCATTTGAACAGCTTAATAAATCTTCCTCAGAGACCTCTGAACGTGAAGACAAACTGCTTTCTGATTGCAGTCAGAGAACATCAAGAATTGCCCCATGGTTATTTTGCTGATCTAGCTTTATTTCCTGCTCTTCCTGATTTCCTTCCTTCCTGCTCTTCTTCATTTCTCTGCTCTTCCAGGATGGAATAGGCTGATGATTTTTTTAATTTTTTTTTTCCTGATCACTATTTAATTCAGAATGAGCTGAAATCACTCTGCCAGGATGGAATAGGCTGATGATATTTTATATTTTTTTTTCCCGATCACTATTTAATTCAGAATGAGCTGAAATGTCCCTCAAGCATACGGGCATTCTCCTGGCACAATACTTTCAAGGCTATGGCCATTTTATGTCTTTTAACATCCCCTGGGATTCTCTCAGCCAGAGAAAAGACTGTGTGACCTTCTCAGGCCTCCATTCAATCTTTTATTCTGTTTATTTTTACCTATGGGTAAAGCAGCTGCCACTTCCTTGAGTCTCACAAAGGCAAGAATTAGTCATCCATTTGCTTGTGCATAGCTTGTAGTATTTCTTTTCATCTCAAGTTGCATTGGTGCTCTGAGTTAACACCTTAGGTGCGGGGTGATTTTGGTAAGTAGTTTTTGTGACATCAATAGCCTGATCTGGATACTTCTGTGTGTCTGCCACTGTGTGCACAGGCACACCCAGCAGCATAAAGCTGGCATATTTGTTTTAAACATACACTTAAGACAGAAATTGCACAAGTACCAGAATTACATACTATCAGTAACAAAACCAAAACAGTCCATCAAAACATGTTACTTCCCCTCTAATTATTTCATTTCCTAGCTGAAACAAACTTTCATGCATCTCTGTTAGGCATCTACAAAACATTCATTTACACTTTACCTTGTGCACTTTGAATGCCTGGGATGACTCTCCATCACTTGTCACAATTCCAGCACTCTCCTGGCCCCTGTGGACAAAATATAACCAACATGAAGCACTGAAACCCTTGGAATGAAATGCTTTAACACACAATGGATTGGTGGGTTTTCATCTGTTTTTTGCAATGAACCAACATGAAGCACTGAAACGCTTGGAATGAAATGCTTTAACGTACAATGGATTGGTGGGTTTTCATCTGCTCTTTGCAACACAAAATTTTAATGTAAGCTTTGTTGTTTTATTTGACAGGCTTGTAATCAAAACTGGTTTCTTGCCCATGTTATGCTTTATTTCAAAACAGTCACATAAGGTTTGTGCCTAAGCCCACTGAATTCACTGGGAATCTTTCCACTAATAAGCACTGGCTCAGGCTCTTACTGCAGTCCTATTTCAGTGTGGGCATAAAATAACAGCAGATGCTTAATCTGAAAAGCCACTTTGCAGTGATAGTCTGGGCTGCAGTAGTAGGCTCTATAGCACTACTCTATTTCTGCTCTGGTTTGGGGAGGGGTGTTAAGAAACTGATGGTTTTACCTAAGGGAATGCATATCTCTTTCAGGGTTCACCTAATGCAGAAGCTTTTGCATTCTTGCACTTCAGCGGCCAAGCTAACATTTGCATCTCTAAAAGGTATATGGACCCTCTGATAAAACTGTTTGAGCACATAAAACTAGTATTGGGCATCACAGCTTCTGAACTCAAGCAAAATAAGCGTGGTGTAAAGTGTCCCTGCAAATGGCAATACTTCTCTTACAGCAGATCAGCCTCAGGCTGGCAGTTGTGCTGCGTTGAGCAGAAGAGCTGGATCAGCTGAAATGGGAACCTGCTCCCTTTCTCCCCAGCACAGGGGCTGGGTCCCTGGCACTGCCCGGCCAGAGGCAGGCACAACACTGCACAGCTGCCCAGCGTTTATAATTCAGTCTGGAATTTTGTGGGTAACACAATTCCTTTAAAAGGCTTCCTGGAATAGTACCTTTACCAAAACTGTTGGCATATGCCCACCGCACCTGGAACGCTCATAGGGACTTTGGTGAGCTCCCACACACACTCATATGTAATAATAACTGAAAGGAAAGAAGCTTTTCTTGGCAAAGGAAACACTTAGAATATTTTTAGAATATTAGATGAAGACGCTAGGACGATTAGACTGGTTTAACTCAACTGAAGCCACTGGAATTATTCTGTATATATAACAATAGAATCAGGCACAAAAAATTTTTGCCGAATGGATACTAATCTACAACTGACCATACCCATTACAAATATTCTCCAGTTCCTAAAATCCCTTCATTGGTCACTAGTCCCAGTTGTGGATAAAGCAAAATTTTAAAGAATATTTGCTTACAGAAAACCAAACCAAACAAACTTCATGCATATCTAAACAAATTTACCCTGTTATTGACACAGGTCTTCAAGAGAAAAACTGAGATGAGGACATTCTTAAACACATTTATTTTAACTCAGGAAGATGATGTCCCATCTATAAACACAGACTGGCAGTAAAACTTAAAGGTTGATATACGACATTCAGCAACTTGAAATTCAAATGTTAATATTACAGACAATTTCCATTTAAATACTGACACTGTCCCTTTAAACATCAACAAAATCAATAGACAGAAAGAGGGAAACAAACATCCTGAAGGGAAGAAAGGCCTTTGCAAGTTGTTTGATTACATCATTCATGTAGCACTAACGAAAGAAAAGGAAGCTCAGTTTCATTGCCACAAAGCTTATACGATTTTACCAATTTAGTGAGGTTTCTAAGTATGCCATCTTTTTATTAAAACATCACTAATAACCAATGAATATTAGAGTTTAAAATGTGTATATATATGACCGTCAATTCAAAAACAAATAGGACATGGAGAAGCAGATGTAAAGCCGGACGATCCTATCCACGTTCCCATCATACTGCAACTTGTCTGGGGGGGCTCAGCCCCAAATGTCCCCCCACCATCCGTGGGAGACAGGAGGTGCTGCAATGCCCACCCAGACACGGCCAGGCAAGAAGGTGGGGGAGGAATAGAAATCGTGGGTTTTATTTTATTTTAAAGGAACAAAATGGTGTGACTCTCTTTTTTCCCCCTCTCTCCTTCCCCTCCAATGCTCATACCGGAGTCCCTTTTTCCCCAGCAGGGTTAAAGCCTCCCCCCTCCCTCCCCATCCAGCTCCCAGTATATTCCCAGCCTGCTTATTTGGCAGTTTCTCAAGTTACTCCCCTCAGGCAGCTTGAGCCAGTAAAACTAGATCCTTTCATCTCGGCGGAGCTTACTGACAACCAGCCGTCTGGTTTCCTAGGAAACAAAATCTTGGCTAGAAATAGTGAATCATTTCCAGGTCACTTTCAACATGGAGAGTGGAGCAGGGAAGCATTGGACTGAGGAGGAGGTTAAAGCCTTGTTAAGCGTCTGGTCAGAAAAAAATATCAGAAAACAACTCCACGGCACCCTGAGGAATAAAGGAATATTTATCTACATTGCTAAGAGGTTGCAGGAGTTAGGAGTTTGCAGGGATTGGAAACAGTGCCGTGCAAAGTATAAAAATCTGAAGTATGAATACAGAACGGTTAAATATGCCCACAACTCTGGGGATGTCACTAAAACCATGAAGTTTTTCCATGATCTGGATGCCATATTGCGCTATGAACCTGTCACACAATTAGCAGCAGAAGAAAACGGCAGGTGTTCTGCGACTGAGACGCAGCCGAACACAAGCCCCACAACAGAGAGCACGCAAGGTAAAAAAAAATAACTGTTTTTCCTTCTTTTTTTTTTTTTTTTTTTTTTCCTCTCTTTGCTTAAAAACCCGAAGGGAACAAAAAGCCGAAGGCTGAGTTTGCCGGAGCGGAGGTTGCGCAGCCCCAGCAGCGCTGTTAGAACTGACTTGATGCGCTCCTCGCGCAGGGGAATAAAATGTTAGCACCCACCAGTGTCGAAGTCTGTAAATACAGCGTAATTCTAGCAAAATTATGCTAACTGCTTCTTTCGCAGCCCCGGTGACTACTCGCTGGCATCAAGGCTCCTGCACTGGGTCAAAACGGTACATTAAGAAAAGCTGGTTTTCTTTCCCTTTGACATTCGGACTTTGGAAGCAGGTTTTGTAGCGCTCTAATTCAGATATAAACTTAAAGAAAGATAAAAGTAAAGGTTGAAATGGTCATGTGTGGATTTTTTTTTTTAAATTGTTATTTGTGATACAAGTGAAATTTAGTATTTTTATTCTTATTTCTCTGTAACTGAAAATTTAGGTATGATGACTAAAGGTAAATTAAATTATTTTGTAAGCAATTCAACTTAAATATTTGAGAAACAGAGGAATGTTTAATAACTTAACATTAAAAACTGTAATGTAGTGAGGAATGCAAAAGTCATCATATTTATCAGACTATTTTGTGGCAAACCTAATTAATAGAACTGCTTTTATTCTGAAGGGGGTTTTACCAAATTATTTGTATCTCTTGTTTTATTCAGCCCTCTCTAGATATGCATTTAAGCTGTGCTTAACATTTCATTAGGGTCAATCTGCTATTTGACATCACTCAAATCTCCTTGTCACATCCTAAATGTCACTGAAGCATAAGCCCCAATAATAGTTATAAGTACCAAAATAAGATGGCTAAAAAGAGAAACGCAAAGCTTAGCTACTTGTTCCCACAATATGTGGCAATTTACATTAATTAAGACTGTGAATCTTTTTTAAGAAAACAAAAACTCAACCTTAGTATCAGGGGAGATTGCCAAAGGCACAGAAAGAAGCTGGACATCCAGCTTGTCCTTGTACCCCTCCACATCTCCCTCTACAGTGCTGTTTTACAGGTCTGAGGAAAAGGAATTGCTATTTTTTGTGTGACTGTTTACCTTAACGAAAAGCTTGACCTTAATTTGTCATCACTAGCAGAAAGCCTCTAATCTGTCAAAGTCACTTTAAATTAAAAAGGCAATTTTATAATACTGCAAGATGTGCTCTCTGCACAGTGTATTGCAATCCATTTTTATTTTTAAACTTGCAGAACTGAGGCTAATACAAACTGCGACACTTCTGAGGACTACGTGAAACTAAGATAGTGTCCTTCATCTGAGGATCTGCCCTCTGTGTTTTGATGTAGTTTGCACCAAACTGTTAATTTTAATTTTCATCAGCCTTAGACCTCTAGCAAGTTTAAATGAGAAAAGGTTCATTTCAGTTGTGAATCCCAAACTAGAATTTAAAAAAAAAAATTACCCTGGGTTAGACACGCCTCATTTTGAAGCATTATAAGAGCCTGATAAAAGGTGATATAATTATATCTCTTACATGCGCAAGCAGTTTTGTTCATCCCTTAGAGAAAAAAAAACAACAACAAAGTTTTATGGGTAAACAAAAATTAAATGCAACTCTAATGGTAAGAATTTAAATGCAAAGATTCCCACAACAACCACAATTCAGCCACAGAGAAAACCCACTAGGATAAAAATGTGTCCTGCAGCTACACAGAATGCTCACATCCATATCAAGGGCAGAGAGAACAGCTGGGAGAACATGAACTTTCTTCATTTAGGAATACAAGTCAAGCAAGTCTTGCCATGCTGGAGGCCCAGTCCTTTGCCCACTGCCGTTGGAGTTGCCCTGTCTGCCCAGCTCAGTGCTTCGAAGGGCCCTTGTAAGGCTAAAATGGCATCTGAGTCTCTGTGGCTGTTGCTCACAGGTCCCGTGGTGGGGGCAGATCTGATGGTGTGGCTCTCACCGAGGGAAACCAAGAACCTTCATTTTGACAGAGCTGGAGGAGCCCAGGATGTCTAGGCTTCTGACTTGGGTACCAAGTCAAAACCCTATCAACAAACTCAAACCTGTGCCAAATAATTCTGTCCACCATGCACGTCTTTATTTTAACAACCTAGTAGCTATACTAATTTGATTTGTTTAAAAAGCATGAAGGGCATGCTCCCGAAGAAATTACTGTGGATTTTTACCATTCTGCTTAGCCTTGGTCTAAATATTCATAATCCATCCTTAATGTAAAGCTACAAATCACACTTTGGTGTTTGGT